ATGTTACATAATTTCTTAATATGCAAGTATTATTTCAAAGGAATTGAAGAATCAATATTCAAATTTGTACACAATAACCAAATAATTTGATCCTCATATTTCGTACCCCGTCATTGGTACAAATACAATATAGTGGACAATTGGATATAGCAATATATAAATTGAATTGAAGAAAAATATAAAAATAAATATCCCTTGTAAAAGAGACATACAACTAAAACGAATTTGTAAAGGACTACAAAATCATATCTCCCCAACAACTGTATAACAATTGGATCAGTTGGACTAGCTCAACCCAAACTAGATGAGCAGTAATTTCATTTCATCACTTAAAGAGTCGATCCCAGTACAAAATATGACTAGTGAACATATGATACAACCAAACTTTTTATAAGTTAAGGAGACAAATCTCCAGTCAAACATATTATACTGGCAATGGAGGGAGATTTCATTGAACAATCATCAGTGCTACAGAGAGGCAATATATGTAAAGATACACTTCAAGAACGAACGACCCAAATTCTAATTTATGCTCTGAAAACAAGTCATGTACGAATATCTGCTTCATGATTTATGTTGAAGACAAATTTAAGAGGAACATCAAATTGGCAAGTGCCCTGTGAAAGGGTTCCAAACACAACATATCGATGAAAGGTGCTAACAACAATATGCTCTTCTTCATTTGCAAATACATTCAAGTTTTTATTTCTTAAATGAAAAACATCATTCGCCAGCCAGTCAATAAGGACAGGCTTTCTCAAAATCCTTCTGCTCACTACGACACATCTCAAACTCATTTGTGTTGTAGTACATGCATCCAGCATAAGCATCCATCTCTTTGTTACACTTCTGATGAAGATCCTTCAACCTAGAATATAAAACAGCAGATTAAATTTCTCAAAGTTGCACAAAATATAATGATTTATCAAGTATCACTCAGATCTCTCAATGTTTTTCAAACTATAAAGACTACTCATCAATCTACCAACTTGGTTTAAAACAAATACTTGGTCAAGTCGTGTACTGAAATAGGACCAAATATAGTGGAAATCCAACAAAAGAAGAGAAATGTGACCACTCCTCCCTATTTTGAGTTTGCATTTTTTCTCCTTCCCATCTTAAATTTAGGCTATTAACCTATGGCTACAGCATTAATGTCAAATCTGGATATCTAGACAAGGTAATTCACTTTTATTCAAATCTTACCATGTACACTGGCTGGGAGTCCCAAGCAGCTTACAAAGAGGGTTTTGCAAAAAGTACAATGCGTAAACACCAAGAATGTGCACATACTTGAATAATAGAAAGTACATCTCACACAGCAAGGGAAGACCTTTTTTCTAAAAAAGAATATAGTAGTTGACCACATGTTACTTATAGTTGCTTCTCTACTCATAAAATCGGATGGATGGAGAGATAAAACTAGTGACAGGAGAGAATATAATTTTCCATCAGATAACAAAAATGTAACAAGTAGCCGAGGATTCTGTTTAAGTAGGTCTGAATTGATTGTGCAAAGGAAGGGTTTGTTTCATGTACTTGACTAACGGCACTTTTAAGAGGGTATGCATCAGTTTGAGAGCATCAAAATGGTGTCAATGTATTGAGCAATAATGTGATTGATCAGGTTTTAGTTACAACGTCGATATGTGGGGAGGGCGAAGTTGTAGACATTTTAGATAAGCTGTAACCAGTTAGCACTGTGAAGGTGCCTTAAAAAGGGAACAAAAGTTTTAGCATTGTCTCAAAATAGGTCTCGGGGATTTTAATGGGATAACTATCAAAGTCCATTGTCCCTGTCACATGCATACCAAATAGACATGACAATATCCAAACCATGTTTCATTGTAATTCAAATAGAAAGAAGCCTAAACTACTTTTGATTCATAGAGTCAATGGATCCAGATATAATCCTACATTATATAAGCATTCAAATACTCTGAATGACAATATTCAGCATTGGCGTGGTTAGGAAGGTAGAACCGCAGAAGAGACTGAAATAAGCCCCAATTACAATTTCCATCCTATAATGCAAGCAATACACTCATCAGCACATGAAAGAAGAAACAAACAACTACAAGCATTCATAATCTTATATAGAATTGTCAACTTCCAAGCTTAACATTTCTTCAACCTTTCAAAAGTATAAGTTTAGTCACATCGTGTTCACAATAGTTTAACCTCTCTCAAGTATGAAAAACAACTTACTGTTCCTCAATACACAAACTTTCTGTTTTAACTGCCGGATGTGGACTTGTTTATTCTGGTATAATATTGTTTGATACTATGTTGCATTATGCTTCTGATATCTCTCTGTGCAATAAAGGTAATCCAGGAAATATATCTTATTACTGAAATGCTGTGACTTATCACCAGACGCCAAAATTGCACTAGGTATGTTGCTGTCAATGTTGTTGAAACGTTGCTACTACTCTATCAAACTATTACAAAGCAGTTGAACAGTGAATCATCTTCCCTTTAACTGTTACGAAAGAAACATTCATAAAAAACATCTAATATCAACCAACCAACAACATTGCAATATGAATATAGTCTATATTCATTCTGCTCTATTCAGAGTCAGGTCACTTTATACTGGTAAATAATTTGTCTTGTGAGGCAAATTAAGGGTTCTTTGGAACTAGACATTCTTTGAATCACACACTTATTCCTATTCCCTGTTATGACATCTCTCCAACAAGATAAAACAGTCATTCCAGGATAACACCAGACAAAGATAATTGAAACACTTGATGTTAAATTTTATGACCACCTAATCTCAAAGCTTAAATTATTGGAGAGGGAAAGCATTAACTACTTAATTTTATAATCATGGTGTCCTGACCAGTTTGAGCACACCTCGACTAAATCTACCTCCCGTCAACACATAGATGAGAAAAAATCACCTAGTGTTTGCCTCAGCTGGGAATCGAATTAGGAACCTCAGTTCTCAACCCACCTCAATGACCACTAGGCCACACCCTAGGATACATTATCTACTTAATCATCTCCTTAATCACAGTCCAAGCATGTGATTATTTTTTTTATTATTTTGTGAGACCTGAATCAAGTATCTCTGCCTACTCCAATAACATGTTAAGAAAATAATCTATTTACTTAATCATGTCTTCAACACTTCCCACAGTGAATTAGAAAACTATCAACTCCTGATTACTAAAAGCAAACACACAAACAAAAAAGCCCTAAATTTTCACCTTATAATATACTGGACAATCACACAAATCACACAACTGTAATAGTAAAAACAATCTCGAAATCGGCAAAAATAATCAGAATTAAGAAATATTTCGATGTGAATTCCTCACTTACAGGCTAAGAACACAGCGAGTGACTTGTTGACCCTTTTGGAGGCATTTCTCCGGGTTTGGATCGTCCTTCTTGCACTTGAGGTATGCTACATTCTCGCTCCGGCATCTAATATCTATGTGCTTCGACGCCGACATCAGCACCGCCGATGTTGGGATCGGATTTCCTACAGCATCCACTGCGCTACTAGCCATTCTCCAATCGCCAAAACTTCACAAACTTCGTTCACTCTTTGATTGAAACTGTCTGGTCTTCAGATTGCTGCTGGTACATTTCTTCTCCTGAAACTTGGGCTCATTATTTGGGCCGCCGTGTGTTCTGATTGGGCTTGAGGCCTGGTAATTTGAATAAGTGGGCTAAGAGTTAATTTTCAAGGTAAACAATACAAATCTCACTACTTTACGGCTTAATTGCGTATCCATTTGTGAGTTTTTGGAATTATCATTCGTGCTAAATTATCCAAGTGAATTCGCATGCATTTCGAATACATACTGACTTTCTCGCTTGCCTCTCTTTATGTATTTATATTTCAAAATCTATTTGTATTTATATTTCAAAATGTATATAGATTCTGAAATGTATCTGGTATATAAAATATATGTATCTAGAGTGATTCACACATATATGGAATACAGTGACTCTCTCGCACGTTTTCCTCCTATCTCGTTCCTCTCTTGCTCACCTTCTCTCCCTAAGTATTTGTATTTTATTTTTTTAATTAATCTGAAACTGGCGCCTTAGACCTACGTATTTGCATTTCAGAGTGTATCTAGTAGCAAAAATACATGAATCTAGGTATATTTGATTTAAAAATTTATATGAAATTTATTAAGAATTAGGGAAAATTGTATGAAATAGCAAACTATCAATTCAAATTAAATGCTATAGTCATAGTTATTTGTAATTCGTAGCAAACATCCCATTTTTTGCCATTTGGTTTGGTATACAATTAATCATTTTCGGTATACAATTACTCATTCGGTATACAAATGTATAAAATGCGTTTGTGTTTGTACAAAACAAGAGAAAAGTGTATATACAAATACAAATACATATATTTTTGTCCTATACATTTATAATTATACAAATACATATCTTATTATACAAATTACAATGTATAAATGATTTTATACAAAACTGAACAATTTGTATAAAATTTGATGTATCTAGCGAATTATACAAATCACAAGTTCCATAGCAAATATAAATTTTGGTATGGAGCGCAATTAGACAAACTATAACTATAACATATAAATATAAGTTTTATGTTTGCTCAATTATTAATTAGTGAGAGAATATGTAATTAAGATTAATAAATATGGTAGAAATGATTGTGTAATTAGGTTGTTTTCCCCTTTTTTATTTGGACCGACCCGAGTCCAGGTTATTGGTTATGTGGGCCAAAAGCTGTTTCTTCGGACTCCGGTGAGCTTTAAGGAAGAAACAATGGCAAAGCATTCGACGGCGACTCCATCGTTGACGTTGAACTGTGTTAACGGTATAGTAAATGACAGAGTGATCTTACTGTAACAGTCCACTGATATTCAGAACCTTTTTGTTGAAGTCTCTTAGAACAAGGTTTTCTTATGGTTTCTGTAAAGTTCCATTTTTTACTGTGAAATAAATTTTGCCTGAACTCTGAATCCGTACATGTTTTTGTCTTCTTTTTCATCTGAGAATGCTTAATTTCTGCGTTTTTATGGGTAAACTGTGTTGGGATTTTCAATAGAACTGAAAATGTTACAAACCCAACAAGGAGCAGCTGTTCTTGTTTCTAAATTGCTGAAAACCCCACCACTCAAAGCTCTTACACTCTTCAAATCCTCAATCGAGCAAGGGTTTCATCAAACCCACCAATCTTTTTCTATAATCCTAGACGGACTTCTCTCGAGCAACTCCATCTCAGTTGCTCAATCTCTAATCTTACAGTTAGTTTCCGGCAGAATCACTTCACCCCATTTCACTGTTCCTTCATTACTTCAGTATTTGACTCATTCCTGTTTCTTGAATTCTACTCCTTTATATGAAATTGTCATCAATGCCCATCTTCAATCTCAGTTAATAGAACAAGGGCTGATCTTTTTTAATGAAATGATTGATAAAGGACTTGTACCTTCATCGAACACGTTTAATAGTATTCTTTCTAGTGTTATAAAGATTGGATATTTTGAAAAGGCTTGGTTGATTTTCGAAGAATCAATGGGGAAGGAGTTCTTGGATATGTATAGTTTTGGGATAGTGATAAAGGGTTGTTGTGAATTTGGTGATTTGAATGGTGCTTTTGAGGCATTAACTAAATTGAAACAAATGGGGTGGCGGCCGAATGTTGTAATATATACTACTATCATTGATGGGTGTTTTAAGTATGGTGATGCTGGAAGAGCAAAGGAGTTGTTTAGTACGATGTCAGTCGAGGGTATAATACCTAATCAGTACACTTACTCTGTATTACTTAATGGTTTCTTTAGGCAAGGACTTAAAACGGATGGATTCGAGCTTTATGAGAAGATGAAGCTTGATGGAGTGTTTCCTGATATATACACTTATAATTCTCTTATTAACGTGTATTGCAGCGATGGAGAAATTAGCAAAGCTTTTGAATTATTTGATGACATGCGTCATAATGGGGTAGTATACAATGTTGTAACTTATAACACTTTGATTAGAGGGTTATGTCAAGAGAAGAGAGTGTTGGAAGCTGAGAAACTAGTGGATCAAATGAAGCTGGCTGGGTTGCACCCTAATTTGATCACATATAACACTCTAATAGATGGGTGTTGTAGTGCTGGAAAGCTTGAGAAAGGATTAACTTTGTTCAATCAGATAAAGTCATATGGGTTAACACCTACATCAATCACGTATAATACTTTAATTGCGGGTTTCTCTAGAGCTGGAAATCTATCAAAGGTTGTTGACTTTGTTCGTGAGATGGAGGAAAGAGGCATATTTCCTTCAAAAGTCACATACACAATTCTTATTGATGCATTTGCTCGATCCAACGACATGGAAAAAGCACTTGAGGTGTTCTCGCGTATGCATAAAGCTGGTTTGACTGTAGACCTTTGTACATATGGTGCCTTGATACATGGGTGGTGTAGTCAAGGGAATATGAAGGAAGCATCGAAATTGTTCCTATCGATGTCTGAATATCATCTACAGCCTAACGATGTAATATACAATACGATGATATTTGGATACTGTAAAGAGAGCAGTTCCTATAGAGCCTTGAAGCTGCTCAAAGAAATGGTTGAGAATGGAATGATTCCAAATGGAGCAAGCTATTGCTTGACGATTGAAGTTCTTTGTGGTGATGGGAAATGGAAAGAGTCCGAGGTTTTAGTCAGTGGCATGATGAAATTCGGTCTAAAACCCTCGGTTTCATCACGTGATCTGATTCAAAAGGCAAAGAACGTGACAACTTAAAGATATTATGAAAGCGATACCTGAAATGTATGCACACAATAAGCATGTGAAGCAACATCAACTAGAAAATGAATGAAGGCTTAGATACCTTAGAGTGCCTTGTCCTCATCGTCATGGTAAGCTTGCTGCCACCCTGATTTACCTTATAGAAAAGTCAGTAACACCTTTTGGTATTGAATATGGTGTGTTTGTAGTTTCATGTCATTTGGTGTACGTATGTTACATTCCTAGTGTATCTTATGTGGTCATTCTTTTGTTCTCATGTTAATGTAGTTTATGTTATTTTGCAGCCCTTGTTCTCGAGATTATGGAGACTACTAATTAATCACAAGCTTACGCTGATTCTTGATAGAAAAGAAAAGAGGAAACCTTCTTTACAAGCTTGTAAACGATTTAATACTATACTTCCTACAGAAGTCTCATCAACATTGGAGTTTGGTAACCGCTGCATGCTACTTTTTTCATCATATGATGCAGCAAAAATAACATGGTTCATATGTGTAGTTCTGTCATAACATTGGGTTGACGATATCAACTGTAGTGGCTTTTAGGATCTACTGTTGTTGTTAGTGTTGTTTTCTCTCTAAAGAAGGTAACTTAATGAAGTTGTTTTGATTCCTCTTTGTGGGTTGAGGATGACAATCCGGGCTCACTAAAATTTCTTGACAAGGGCAACTTCAAATCAAGACACAAACCCTGATGATACTTCATCGTGTTCCTTTTGCTGAAGGATCGAGATTTTTGAAGTGATAGGAAGGGAATCACTAATGATACTGTCAGCATAGTTCATTTTAGATTAATTCTTCTTTTGCTGTGGATATCTCATAGTGGAATGATGAAGAGTTTTTTTAAGGTTTTTGTTGGGATTGATATGCACGTTGTGTCGAAATCTCCAGTAAGAAGGTGATAGAATTTGGATAATTTGAGCCACCCCTGAATTCAGTCACCATGGCTGATGGATACAAGCTCATGATGCAACTTCATTTTTTATTAATCTTTTTTTGTAGGTAATCGAGTATCCTTATGCACGAAGATAATCAATTTGCTTGTTGTGTTCGAACTCTATTATGGTTTTTTTTTAACCACATTCTCTATAAGACTCTCTTATCTTTTCCTCTGAGCTCTAGCTAGTCATGGAAGAATGAACCACTCCCGAAATTTCTTCGTGGCGGCTCCCTTCTCATTTCAAAGGGAACTTCAATTTCTAACCCTCACAAGCCTTCTGAATTCTGATTCCAAATTGCCTTGTATCTGCAGTCCCATTTCTTGGACCAAAGATGCAAGAAAGTCTAGATATTGGTGGCTCTTCATATTATTGCTTCTTTTTATCTGATAAAGTGATAAATTGTCTGTGTAAATCTAGCAAAGCATAGCTGGTCCCAAAACCACATAAAGAAGGGTCACTCATACAAAAAAAAAGAGGCGAAATGTGGCAAGTTTAGGTTGAAAATTTTCGCAAGATCTTAGTAGCTAGAGGAAAAGAAAGCAAAATCGATTCATGTTATAGTGAGGGGCAGAAGTGTGAATTATCTAAACTAATGAAAACAAAGTTGTGTGAGAGTAATACAAAAGTGTCATGTTACTAAGGAAGTATACATTTAAATGAATGATTTAGTATAGTCGATTTCAACTAGTTTGAATTGAGAGAGAATCAATATACATACATATATAAGTTTTTATGTAGTACCAAAAAGAGAAAGTTAACAAGTGTAGTCATGAATTCATTTAACCATATGGTTCTTTTAGTCATAAAGTTATTTAATTTTTTTCATATTTTTCTTTATTTGTAATGAAGGACCACTATATCTGATGAATGAGTAATACTGCTTACATGTAATAACCAATTTGGGACCAGAGAACTCATTGTATGAAAAAACACTGACAACATAACCAAAAATAAATTCAGTGTGCAAAAATAAATTGAAAAAACTAGATAGGGGACCATATTAATAATTGATACTCCCTCAATCCTGAAATAAGTGTTGTTTTAGCTCATTTCACGCTTATTTAAAAAATGATATGATTTACTAAGGTACCCCTGTTTATTACTCCGATGAACGGAAGTAGTAGTTTTTTAATATAAGGAAATATTGGAAATGATTACTATTTTTTGTCTTGAATTTCTAAAGCGATACTTATTTTGGGATAGAAATCAACAAAAGAAAAAGTAAGTGGACCTGACCTTTGACTAAAAATCCTTTTCCAGAATCATCCCATTCTGAAGACTCACAGAAATATACAGACTTTGCCTCAATCCACAATTTTTTTTGCTGAAGCAATACTTATTTTGGAACGGGGAATTAGCAAATTAATGGATTTATAGGGTGTGTTTCGTATGGATTTTTTCAATTTCTCATGTTAAGTTGGTCAATTTATTTCGAAAAATATTTTCTTTACGAAAAAAGAATCTTAAAATGAGTAAAATGATTTTCGTAATGGAAAATATAAGTTTCACAAATCACATTTCAAGTTCCTTGTCTATTCCACACCCAGGGGCGTATACAGGAGGGGGTCACCGGGTTCATGTGAACCCATGGTTCCCTCCCGAAATCATATATAGTAGTGTTATATTTTTTAAAAATATTTAAATATAGATGCGTGAACCCAAACTCGAAGTATCATATAATGTAGTACGATGATGATTGTGCACCTCTCTAGGTGAGGTTAGAAATTTGAATTTTTTATCTATCTTGTTTTAGTTTTCTTTCTAAGATTTTGCAACTGATTTGGATAAATAAAAGTTAATTTTTGACCTATGATTTTTAAATTTTAATGATTTTCAGTAAAAAAAATCTACCCGATCAAATTTATGTCTTAGATACACCAGTCAATACCTCCAACACCCAACCATCCCCCATCCTCAGCAATCTCGAACTCCCCCCCCCCCCCCCCTTAATCTGTATCTCATCCCACCCTATAATTTCACTAAATTATATATAAATGTTGTTGAAATAATATTTTTCTTACTTACTTATTAAATATTAAAAAAACAAAATTTACTTATGTCTAAAAAAACATTTTTCACGAAAAGCATTTTCGTTTTACGCTATGATAACATAGAAAATAATGATGAATGGAGAGATTTTGTTGGTAACAATACTGATAAGTTAATTATGATACCACTTTTTTATTCAAGACAAGATATATTTTGAGAATTAGGTGAAATAAATCAAAAGTAGACACTTATATCCTTTTCTCAAAAGTTTTATCTTTTTCTGGAAAGGTCCAGATTAATATGCTATTTTCCTTGAAAAAAGTTCCATTAATTATTCTTTTTTAAGAATATTCACCTAATCGTCAATTTGATGTAACATTTGACGTCTTCTTTTTTAAAGTTATTTTCAATCCTTTTTATTATTTTTAAAGCAAAAGAATATGAGTGGAGGATGGAACCCTTTGGGGGAGTATTGTTTAATCGAATCCAATAATATCAACATGAAATATATATTAAGTAAAAAAAAAATCGACAAATATTATATTATGAATTCATAAATTTAAAAGTACAATGAATTTATTCTTTAGAGACATCTGGTTCTTTTCTAAAAAAAAAGGCGAGTTTAGTGCTAGATAGCATAAGGAATGATCGAGAGAGCGATTTTTTTTTGGATATATAATTTAAATCCATAGCAGAGTTCTAAAAAAAATCATCTGAAAACTATTTTCACATTCGATTCAGAAGCACCTTTTTTTGTTAAGTTTTATCATTTTCTTTCGTGTGAATTCCATTTAAAAATGAAAAATTAAAATTATTAAATGTAATTCTAAATCTATCTCCAAGCTAGCGTTTGCTTGCCATGAAATTTAATCAGGTTTTGAAAATCTACTCTTCGATAATTGACTCAGACCAATTTTTGAATTTTGAGGACTTTCAATTACAAAACTTTAAAAAGTCAGTTTTAAATAATATACGCGTTCAAATATAACATTAATGACCTAAATTTTTAAATTTCAACTTTAAATTCTACGAGTAAAACTAGAGCTTAGAGATATGCATGCACATGATTAGATCTTTACACCTGCAGAAAATGGAGGGACTCTTTTTTACTTAATAAAGTGTGCTTTACAAATTGTAGAATCTCCGTGAATGGATGGCTTGATTTGTATTGCATTATTTGATAAGGTGATTCCAAGTTCACATGTTCAACAAATGTTCTGTCAATTTTCTTTTTTTTCTGAGATTAATTTTATAAAATATTTCATAATATCACGTCACTAAAGAATAACTTTACAAGCTGGAGAGAATTAAAAAAAAAAGAAGCTAAAAGATAGTTGTACCTACTATTCATAAAAATAGAATTAGTTTGAATCAAATTTATCCTAAACTTCAGATTACCCTTCCATTAATGACATAACTATACGATAATTTAAACAATTTTTGATTATACGAATTATATTTATCTTTTATATTAATCCTAGCTACTATATATACATTAATTCATTGAGCCTTATAATAAGGTAGCATTAATATTTGAATGTTTTTAATTTGTTTGTTTAATATTTGTATTGGAGTACGACTATTTTTAGTTTGTGCAGAATAAAGCCCAACCTTTTCTATCAAGGATTTTTCTATTCTTGTAACTCCAATTCAAAATCTCTGATTAAGCGAGAAGCAACCTCATCCACTCCACTACGATGTATAAATTAAAGTTGTGTGTAATGATCATGACATTGTGGCACGTTGAATATAATTATGACTTACTTTCCGGCAGACGCCGTTCACGTTTTTGGGGCAGCTTTACACTAAAAGACACATTAAACTAAAAATAACATTTGTTTTCTAGCTTCTCCTAAAAGACATGATAAACTAGACTAATGTATTTTATTTTTTTGTTTAATTTCCCAATGATAGTGGATTATTATCAGTCTCATATTAGTATTAGTTAGTACTATAACTTATTAAATCAAATAAAAAGATTTTAGTGAAAAATATTTTTGTTTGACTGACAATTTATTTTTTTAAAATTAAATAATAAAAGTATTTGATCGAATAAAAAGTGTTTTCAAATATATATTTAAAAGTACTTTTTGTTTGAGAGAAGAGGTTTTGATATTCTTCAAAAACACTTTTCTTTTTTTAAAAAAAAAACTTAATCTAACATCTCACTTTTATTAAAAAAAAAAAAATCTGAAAAAATAAGCATTTTGGGGCTTTCAAGAAATTGATCAAATATGCTATGAATTACTCATAATAAAAAATAATAATATTTAAATTAAATTATATAATTTTATTATTTTGAGTGATTTAATAAAGTGATTTGATTATTTTCTATATTAAAATATAAAAAAATATTTTGATAATCTTTTTAAAGCTGACTAGTT